TATATATATATATATATATGTCTCTTCAGGTTCTTTCAATATAAATAAAAATTCGCAGTGAGCACATTCAGCGGTTGAATCACTCGTAAACTTTGTACAAATGAAAAAGATCAGAGTCTTTTGAAGAGTTTAAATAATCTATAACGTGTACTATAGCTTTGTTAAAGTCTTTGGCTAAACATCTAATTGCAATCTAAGATTGTCTTTCGGGTAACTTTCTGTTAATGATGACCCTCATCGGTTAGGTTGACTTAGCTAATTCAGTGGACTTTGTGAAGAGTTTGTTTTTTAAAAGTTAAAGTTACGATGCCGACGCCAACAGTAGCACAGTAAACTGCGTACTGATCTAGCTGAGAATATAAAATATTCATATCATCTCTTAGTTATCGTCGCTGATGATGCTCGCAAGAGATTGCGTCATAAGCCATAATTACGATCACAGTAATTGTATATACGCGTAGTTAACTTACTGATTATTTATCAACGTCGTTCTGCTTCTTTGGACTTTGCTCTGTATGGTCGAAACTTTTTGTGACATCCTGAAGAAAGAGGACACGACATTTTACCATACACATACATCGAATACATGTGAACATTAATCTTCATGTCATGACGCAACACATGTTACATAAATTGTCATGCATTAATTAACAACATTGATAAATGAATGTTAAATAATGATGAAGACGTTACGATTATCGAGGAGTGTTCTATTGAAAAAAAGGAAAAAACAGGAAAAGAAAAATACAACGTACCTGTACCGCGATTTGCAACGGCGTTAATTCACCTACGGAGCAATCGTTTCGCACGACATTTGCCGGCATTAATCTGGGGCAAGGTTTGCCCGTGAACAGCATGAACAGTGTGTGAATGCTTCTACGCTGTGTCAGCTCAATATGGCGATGTTGATATCCAGCTAAGTGGCGTCGGTGCCGCGATGTTGTGGGGAACCATCTCTCACATAGGTTACAGTATCGTCTGTGTTTTATCGTCGCCTGCGATTATAATTAAAATAAAAAAACAGGTTAAAAGGGAAATATTCATAGAGAAAGACATACTGAAGAGACAATCTCACCTTCTCGTGATAAGCTAACTGACTGACAAAATCGGCGATGGACATTTCACTTTTCTTATGGACGTCCTTCATATCGACTTTATTGTCTAATGTTATGACTTTGTCATTGTCCAATAGCTTGGACGCGGTCACGTCGACGTCTGCGGAATCCTGATTCGTAATTACCGGCGGTGACCTGGAACTATCTCTGTCCAAGCCAGTGTCAAAGTTCGCGATCACTGCGGGCTCTAATGTCGGCATGTTATCCTCTTTAGACTTGATTCTCTTCGCTTTGCCACTGGCGTTACTCCCCTGATCTACAGATCTTGAAATTTTAGGAATTTTATAAGATAATATCTTATTCCCCTCCTTTCGCGGTGTATCTTGCGGCGACTGAGGCACGGTGTCTTTTTGGTCCCCTGGATTCTTTTTCTTCTTCTCGCTCAAGTTTACAACGCAAGATGAGTTTTCGTGCGATACTGCCACTTGGCCGAGCCGCTTGTACGTCTTCAACGATATCGTGGTGCACTCGTGCGCGTCCTCCCTTATTTCTTTGAAATTCATACGAGTGAGCGTAGGGCGAAGTTCTTCGTCCCTCTTATCAGGCGGTTTTATCTTCTTCTTTGCGAGGACACTTTTACTCGGTTTGGAATGTTTCTTATCAGACTTTTTGGCGTTAGCTATACTCTCAGTCTTGTTGTTATGTTTACTGGCTGCAGGTATAGAGCCCGTCTGTAGCGTAACATCACCGTGACAACTTTCAGAAGCATCGCTCGACTTAGGATACGTCTCTGAGAGACTGTTGAGATCAAAACTCGAGCCTTGTTTCTTCTCCGCAGCTGTCTTCGGCTTTGGGCTGTTCTCGCATCTCGACTTCGAAAGGCACTTCTTCAAGGTCTCTTTGGCCGCCAACACCTCTTTTACCAAGGAATCATTGCAGCAGAATTTCTCCCTGGACAGACTCTGCGAATCTGTTCCCTTGCTGCACGGGAACTTCGAAGGAGTCTCTTCGACGCAACCGATCGATTTCATAGACTCCGACACGGGCCTGTCGTCGCTTTTTACGTTGATTTCCACGTATTTATCTTTCTCGAGCGGATTCTTATTGCAATGTAGAGGTTCAGGTCTATCGTAAAGTCCTGCCTTCGAGGTTGGATTACCATAGTATTCCTCGGCGGACGTGCGACGTGCATTGTAACAGGCGACGGGGTTGAGCCTCGGCATGTCTAGCAGGTCAAGATCGCTGTTGTCCGCGATCTCCAGTTCCAGCTCGAATTGGGTCGGAATAGCATCCGCAGAATACAATTGCTCGCTCTCACCATCGTCGATGATGTGACTTTCCAGCTCGCTGTGGCTATCATCAGGTGATGCCGGCAAGATTTCTATGGTTGTTTGACTCTCATCCGAAGACTCGATCTTAATGACAGCGTTATTGTCCATTTTAATGTCGCTCAAGATAGGCTCTTCCTTGAGCGAAATAACATCGTCTTGCAAGGTGCACTCGATGTCCATATAATCGGGATTCAGTTGCTCTTTGATCGTGACCTTATCATCATCTTTACACAGGAAAGGATCGTCCTTCTTGCTTTGTTCCTTGTCCTCTTGCGGTTCGATCTCTTCGGAGGATATTTCGCTCAAGTTGAACAACTTCATGGAACAATTTTCCATCTCAGATGTCGCCTTTAACTCCTTCAACGCGGTCTTAAAGTCCATAGAGCTGGAATGCTTCGGAGGATTTTTCCGGTCGAGTTTAACCGAGCTCGACGTGTCTTCTTCCGTTTTCATTACCTTTTCTAGCTTGACATCACAGCCATCAATCTTGCATTTATTGCATTGAGAGATAACTTTTTTAAAGCTGGATATTTTAACGGCCGATTTATCTTTCTTGATCGTCTCTTTTTCGGACGGAATAACCTTGGCCTCCGTTCGTAAGTTATTATCGCGGGACCGCGATCTACGTTTGTCGTCCTTGTGATAATTGTCGGTCGATCTACCGTGATCTTTGGTAGGCGTGTTTTTCTTCGGTGTGGTGCGCGTCTTGGTATCTTTGGAGTCCGCATCTCGCGACGACGTACGGCGTAAATCGTCTTTCGACGCACCGTTGATCTTCCTGCAATCATAATCCGACATCCTCCTCTGCTTGCACTTGACAGGAAGTAAGTCGGACGTCGAATTCGACCTGGATAACTTATGGCAATCATGATGATCGTGCTCCCTTCTTCGCCAGTTATCCTTGCGACTGACGAATATCTTATCGATAATTCGCAGCGACACGGGAGTTAAGGAAGAAGAGGATTTGAGGTCCTTCGCCATGCTGTCCAGAATTCTGTACCTTTCCAGCTTCACCTTCGGCTGCCACTTGGAGCTCTTCGCGATGACATTCTTGCCGCTCTTGCTCAACTCGCATTTGAACTCCGCGCTGGCCGACGTTCTCTTGATGATGACCTTCGGTATCTTCTCTGAAATGCCGATCATCGAATCCCTCTTCATTTCGCACTTCGCCGTAGTTGTTCGCGCGGAGTCGCTGTTACTGCGCCGCGTGGAATGTCCCATGATGTCGTCGCATCCCGATCTCTTGTACCTCTTCGTCGGCACATCCGAGTGGCTCGAGCTCTGTCTCTTTCGTAACATCTCCGGAGACGAGGATCTGTTCCTCTCCTGCTTCCTCAGCTTCAATATAGGTATCTTCTCCTCGTGCCTCTCCAGATTCCTCGATTCCTGGGAAGTCGTGCTATTGTAGATCGAATTATCCGACGGGTCAGATCTCGGTGAGTTTTTTATTTTTACCTTTGGGATAGTTTTCTTCATGCTCTTGCGTTTCACGCAAAGCTCCGCGGTGTTTTCGTCCCTCACGATCTTGCTGACGTCCAGTTTGATCTTCATCTTAGGTATCTTGTTCCTGGAGCTACCCGGATCCTGCAAAGAGCTCTCGGAATCGTTTTCGTACAGATCTTCTCGCGTTTCATGCTTCGTAATCAAAGCCCGTTCGGAAATGCTCACTTGAACTAAAGTTTTATCGGGAACTGCCTCGATAGACGGTGTGTCCGGGCGAGACTTCACGTTCCTGATGATCATCTTGGGTATCTTCGGATGACAACTCGGTCTCGAGACGGACTTATTAGCGACATTGTCTGTGAAGGAAGAGGGACTCATCTTCGTAACGAACTTTGAGCTGACGTCGGTTTTTTTGATGACGAGCTTCGGGATTATCTTCGTGTTAGCATTGCAATCCGTCGCGCGCAGGTATGCTACATTCTCGTAACTACTGGAAGAAACTGGATTCTGCTCCTTTTGTTCCCTGTTCTCGTGATCGCACGGCGTTACTTTGAATTTCTCTAACATCGGGGGCGGTGGCAACGCCGTCGTCTCATCAAGTACAGCAGACTCGTCTAATTTATTCTCAAGCTCGGATGGCAACTCCAACAGCTGCGACTCCTTCATCACGGGCCTCGACAGAGACAAATTGTCCAAGAGCGAGTTATCTTCGCTGCGCAGTGAATTTGCCGCAGCTGCGAAGTCGATCGACGACTCGTTGATGCCACACAGACGGTTGACAGCGTCTTCCTGGATCTGGCTGGTTTCCCACTCCATCAGCACCATGCTATCATCCTCGGTGAAGTCGTGCTCGGATATCTGCATCAAGACGCACCGATCCTCCGGGTAGATCACACAATCGGAGGAGTCCATGCATAGCAATTTGGTGTCCATTATGCTGTCGTTGTCCTTGGTAGTCTCCCTTGTCTCGGACTCCTCATACTGCCGCTTGTCAGCTTTAATAATGGTCTTGATGACCGTGAATTCTGAGATATTCTGCTCACGCATCTCACTTGCGAATATGTCACACACGTTCTCTTCCGGCCGCACCGAATGTAGATCCAACGTAGTGGTCGACTCGAACAACACCGTGGAGCTGCAGCAGTCCACCTCGTCGATTCCTGGGTCCTTCGACGAGTTCTCAGGTAACTGCTCATTGTCCTGCAGCTTCTGCGACTTTTGCTCGACGCTCTCTTCGTCGAGCGGTCGCGATACAGCCATGACGACATCAAGTGGATTCCGCGAGGTGATTAGCTCCTCTTCTCCACACAAGGTAAAATTTTCTTTGTCATGCGAGTTGTTTCGCTCGTTCGTTTCATCGTTGAAATAGATTTCGTCTGTGACATTTGATTCTGTGGCAGTTTGATTCTGTGGAACTTCTTTCGGTTTCTCCTCTTCTTCTTCGCGATCGGCTGGAGTCGATTTCAAGGCCTCTTTGTGCACAACCTCGTCGTCCGCAATGAAATCTGAATTGTTCTTCGCAGAGTCGTTGATTTCGTCGGTTTGTTCATCCGCAGCAAGTATAGGCACTTCCTCTACCGTTTCTGTGCATTTTGGCTTATCCAGCGGATAATCGCAATTTACATTCGATTTCGACGGACTCGTGACTTCGGTAGAATTTTTATCTGGAATTTCCTTCGCGGCTGTATCCTCGACGCTAAGTTTATCTTCGTTCAAAGGCACAAGCAAATCATCGGCCACTAAGGATTCCGTGAATGTTTCCTGGACGTGACTAACAGGGCCCTGGTCTGTTCCTAAAACGCAAACTTCATTGTCCACAACTTCAGGAGCGCAGGACGGTGCTTCTTTGGCGAACACAATCGCGGCGGTTTCGACTTCGTCGAATTGAGAATGTTGCTTCTTCGTATATTCATCATGTAACGATGCATCGTGCTCGACGCTCAGTGACTTGTTAACTTGTTGTTTATTGTTAACTTCTGTTGTTGACAACACGACGTTCTGATTATTATTTGTGTCTTCCTGCTCATCACACGCGACGGCTCGTAGCTTCGATTGCTCGTAAAGTGAATCATCGTCCCGAACTAAACGCAAATCGTCGCTGGTGTGGCTACACGTTGTGGGAGCCAACGTCGGCGGTTCGTTTGCCGTGTCGCAGTTGTTACTCGCATTGTGATCGCCGTTGCCGTCGAGAGATTCTTGCTTCGTATGCAGGAACGGCAAAGAAGAGTCCAGCCGTTCCTGCTTGACAAATATCTCACTGAAATTCAGCTCTTTGAGATTGCCGCTGTTCCTTCTGTCAACGTGGGAAGAGTACGACTTCACCGACTCCATGGTCTCTTCCCAACGTCCTTCCCAGAGCGTCCTCGGCTCTAGAAATTTGTTCGGGTCGAACACGGAGCTCTCGTTGTATCCTTTCTCATAATCGAGATTCTCGTCTTTCGTTTTGCAGTGCTTGATATTCGATGCGGGCTCGCCATCCGGCACTGTTTCTCCGGCCTTACACTGTTTCTCGAGTAAGTTTACGTCTACGATGTTCTTCGTGCTGCCTTCTTTACTTTCTTGATCGTTCCTGCTCATATACAACTTGTCCGCATCATCGTTGAAGAATTCTAGATGTAACGTGTTCCGGGCTTTTACGTGATGGGCGTTCTTACTCGGCAGGTAATCGGCATGCTTCGTTGTGAACTGTTGTTTAGTATCGACGGTGTTTAGATCGACCTCTCTTTTCCTAAGAGCAGCGGCGACCTCACGACTCTTCTTGAACACTTTTCGCAACTTTGAGCAATTGTAATAGTCGAACGACGGAGACCTCGCGAAATACGAGTCACGGGTGTTACCATAGCCCTCCTTCGCGCGAGCTTCCATGAGCAACTCGTAGTATGTAAACCGGGGATTAGGACTGTAAGTGATCTTCCCGTCTTTGGTGGAATACACGGGCACTGAATTCAAGTTCTCCAGCTCATCCACGCTGAAGAAAATTGGGTTCATGTAACCACTGGCGGTCTCATACAGGTCCAAACTGTTAAATCTGCTGTCGTCCCTCCTCGGTCGCTTCCACCTGTCCATACGCTTGTCATCGGCATCCGCATTTTCATTCGCGGCTATGTCGAAATGATTGTAATCGAAATGCGCAGAATTATTGTCGTAACCGACGCTTTCTAAATCAAGGTCAGCTGTACTCGAAGAGGTCGATGCACCCGCGTTTAACTTAGACACGACACTGTCCTGTGAATTTCTCGCATTCTTGCATAGGAAAGCAGTAGTTGCTTCTTGATGCTCCTTTTTTTGCGTGTTACTGTTTTTTGATGTTGATCCTGTATGCGATGAATTATCTGCAGAGGTCTTCGATTCCTCGGTGGTCATAGGGAAATTGGTAGTAATGACTTTTCTCTCAGTATCTTGGTGCACGCTTCTCCTTCTAATCAGTACATGTTCCGATTTTGGAGTCTCCGAGGCACTCGCTGCCGGCTCAGTCTCGACATTAACATTGCCTGAAAGGATATCAATTCGTAAAATTATTCCAATATATCAGAACAATTATTATAATTACTTATTAAACGATTTAATTATTTATTAACTAGTAATATCCTTTTAAAAAAAAAGAAAATATAAATAAAACATAATAAAGTAAAATTTTTGTGTACATAAGCAGAAACAGAATAAGAAATTCTTGTTATCATTATTAAAAATTATGTTATTATCGTCATTAATTACCACGTGTGTGTGTAATTATTATATATAATTATACAGAGTGTCTCAGATTACCCGGAACACCCAATTTTTTCGTAAACGCGACATTTTAGAGAAAAATGTTTCAAACAAAAGTTATATGGTTCAATAGAGGACATAAGAAGGTATCATTGTTTTGACCTTGGTAGTGCCGCCAAGGTCAGGTCGAGGTCAACTTTGCTTTTTAAATAGAAACATATTTTTTTATTCTATGGAATTTTATTCTACGTAAAAAAACAAATAACTTTTGTTTAAAAAGAAATTTTTATACAACCTCTATTTTTTAAGATATTTACGGAAAATATCTACAAAATTATTAGTTCCAATAATTTTTTACTCGAATTCTATCAACTTTAACCGAAAAATAGCAAAAGATAAAAATTATCTATTTTCTTCTTATAGAGCTCTGAAAACTATTTCAGAATTTTCTAGTTAACTTTTTAGTACTGCATTTTTTTGCATTTTCTTAGTACTAAAAAGTATTAAAAAGTTTATAAAAAATTCTGAAAAATTCTCAAAGCTCTATGAGAAGAAAATAGATAATTTTTATCTCTTGCTATTTTTCGGTAAAATTGAGAGAATTCGAGTAAAAAATTATTGAAACTAATAATTTTGTAAATATTTTCCGTAAATATTTTAGGGACACCCTGTATATATAAGTTTCACATATCATTAGAAGTTTCATGTATAATTATCAGCTACGATCTTTGAATACGCACCTTTGACCTCGTACACGTTGTTAGTTACTTCCTGTTCCGACGATATGCTCCTTCTCATTTTCGGGCCCAATGAACTGGATGCCTCGTCGTTCGTCGTATCTTCTTTGCACGTGGCGTTCGCAGACTTGTACTTGAGCGCTTTCACGCTGTCTTGATCCGACTTGTGGACAAGATCGTCGTATGGAGATTCCGTCAAAGCGATCGGAGATCGATCATGTCTCTCGTAGCCGCGCGAATCCGCCGCTTGGTCGTAGACTATCTTCTTGTCGCACTGAATCTCCATGAGATTCGTCGAGCCTGACCTTGTTCCGCTCGATATCGAGCTGGTCAAGTGGCCAATCGTTTCGGCGACGGCATTCTTGATGTTCTCGTGCAGCAATTTCTCCTTCGTGTTTCGTTCCGAGCACGACACATTGATTTCGATCTTGATCGCGTCCAAGGAACCGCTATTCTTCGCTTCTTCCCCTAAATATTGCAGCTCCTTCTGGTGATCGTTGTCCTTGAGTTTCAGATTGACATTCGTCACTTGAATCGCGAAGTCGGAGTTGCTATTCTTGCTCACGAACGTTTTCAGAACGGCCTGCTTCTTCTCTTGTTCCTCGAGCGACTTGAAGCTCGCGTCCTTCTGACACAGTTGTTTGTCATTCAACAGCTGCGCCACAGATCGTTCGTCGGGGTTCGCCGCAGAATGACACTTCTTGCTCGCCCTATAGTCGGAAACTTCCTGCGTGTCTTTGCTTTTGCTTGAAGCCTCCGCGACACTGGGCGATTTGTACTTTATTCTTCTGTACTCCTTCAAGAGCCGCAGTCTCTCCCGATTCTCGTCGACGTTGTTGCCCGTCGTCCTTTTCGACTCATTTCGCGAGACGTCGCATTCCTTGAGATCTTTGACGGCGCAGGACTTGGCCTTGTGCCTATTCGCTTCTTGAGTATGCTTATTGTGATGTATAATTGCCTCATTGCATTTCTCCACGGTGTTTTCGGACGAGCCCTTCTTATCATGAGAATCCACTCGATTACTCGATGTTGATTTCCGGTCCGGGTGCCGGCTCACGTGCCGAGATCTCCTCGAATCTCTCGTATCGACCTTCAGTAACTTATTGCCGCTCCTCTCCGCCGAAAAGTCCCCTCTCGCGGACGCCTCGTTTTTCCCTAATTTATCATTATCTAACGTAGTGGGATGTTTTGTACTATGTGACGTAGATAGATTACTTTTTACGATCTTCGTCGAACAGCTATCTTCCGCCGCTGGAGGCCTGGAACCTCTCGACGTTGCATCACCCGCCAGTGATAAATCTATCGTGCTTGAGCTCGCTGTTATTGTTTGATGAGCCGACTCGGTAGAGATACATTTTCTCTTGCTGGCAGATAACGTTACACACGACTTATCCTCGCTCTTAGCCGGTTTCAGCAAACGCGCCTCGTACGCATCGGCGTAATTAACATCGTCTCTAGCCGGGGCGTCATCGCGCTCGCCAACGGGCGCTGAATTGCTCGTTGCGATATTCTGCAATGCCTCATCCAATTCCGCCGAATCGTCGTATCGGAGCGCAGCTTTCACGCCTGTCTCCGAAAGCGTTCGCAATTTTTTACGCGTTTCTTGCGCATCGTCACTCACGTTGGCAGCAGCTTGAGATTCGCTTGCGCGCCGGCCGACCGTTGAATTTTTATCATCTCGTGTCGTCTTGCTTTGCATACCGGTTGACGTGATCTTTAATTCATAGTCGCCAGAGGTCAAAGTCATGCACATGCCAGTCATCGTCGCATTCGCCGTGCCGGCGCTCAGTGGAAACGTTTTTTCGTCATCTACCGAGGCGTTACTTCCGCTTGAACCCGCGCGCTCCTTATTGTTACGCTTCATGGTCATCGTAGATCCATTCTTATCATATTTATTTGTGGGAAATTCAAATGTATTAAGCACGTTATCGTGGTTAGGCATGTTATTATTCCCGTCATCGTTGAAACCATTGTTTGCTTGATACTGGCTCTCCAGTGAGTCAGCTGATTTACTTTTCACGCCATCGGCGTCGTCGCTCAGGTGATCGTATGGCTCACCTCGCATTGGCGACTGTGTGAAGCTAATTATAGGACTGTTCTGCACGACTTCTATCGGATTCGTCGATATCGTGAGATCCTGCACGCGCTCCGACGACTCCTCGCTGTCGGAATGGATGGGCGTGTTGAGAGTGGTGGAGATCGGAGTGCACTCGGACGTAGGCAAATCCGGCAGACTGATATCATCCGGATTATGAGATTCCTCGCTTGTGAAACTGCTTTGTTTCTTCAGGTTGATGCCTTGAGTGGTGTCCAAGTTGTCCTTCGCAGGTGTGGCCAAGGTAGTCAATTCTTCCTGGTGATCATCGCTCACCTGCGACATTTGCGACGTGCTCTCCGCCGTCTTAGGTGGAGAGGAGCTCTCGACGACGTACTTATCTTTGCTGAGATTTCCTAGGTCTGCGTTGTACTCGATGGTGGTAGTCGATTCGCCACTGGCCTCACCACCATTGTCGCTTTTCTTGAACTTGTCGGTCTCGAGAGTTATCGCGCTAGCTTCGACTTCCGTGCTCTCATGGAAAAACGATACCGTCTCTTGCCTCTCCAAGGTCTCGCTCACTTGCCCGCTGGTCACCTGTAAAATACTACCTATCTCTAAGTTGTCGACTATATGTATCGTCGGCACTTCGTCGGGTCCGTTGCTGATACACTGTATGATACTTCCCGGTTGTACGATACCATCCTTGGCGATCTCCTTGCAAGTATCCTTCGTGATCTCGACATTCTTTGCAGACGAGTACGATATTGTGAGGCAGTCTTGCGCGGGTACTACGTTGGCGTCGCTCTTGTCTTGATTCTCAAACGCTATCACACCCGATGGGATCTTCTCCGGCTTGGAACCCTCCAGGCTTACCAATGTTTTCGCCGAGAGATCCACGTTTTCGTAGCCCACGACCACCACTGGCGTCGAATTGCTGAGGACGACGTTCTGCATGTTGGAACTCGTGCCGTCCTCGTCTTCGGATTCGTCCCAATTGGCCAGAAATTGCCGGACATCTAGCTCCGGTTTGTCGGCAAATTCTTTCGAGATTTTTTGCTGTATGGCGGTGTCGCTCGTGCCGCTATTCAGATTGTTGAAGCTCTCGCTTGCAGTTTTCTGCTGTACCTCGAACTGCACGTTCGGCTCAAGGTTCTTTTGCACAGGATACCGTTGCTCCTGCTTCTGAAGAGTATTCGGACACAATACGGGCGCATGAACGTCATGCTGAGGTTGCTGAGGCATTAGCTGCTCCGGTTTCTGAACACTATGGCTCCCCATATTAGGGACACCATTGCTCTCCTGCTTGTTCTGCTTATCCGAGCTGTCCGCCGGTGCCTGTGGATTCAATACCTGTTGTACTCGCGGGAAAGCCTCGGGCATGTAGTTAGAATTGATCAGAACACCATTCTGGTCAAACTGCAGATTTATAGGCGGCACTGAAGTGTTAACGGTCGACGTGGTGACGCACGGAGTCTGCTGAATCTGCCCTTGGTATGTGACGGACTGTTGCATTTTCAATAGTTCTTTGTACTTCAGAAGACACTCCTTGTACCTGGGATGTGTTTGGTAGCCCGGTATCCTCGCCAGTTCTTTCAGTTGATTTTCCATTGAGAATCGTTGCATCGCTATCTTGTGCTGGTACGTCTGGAATCGAGAGTAAAGCGGAGGATGCATAGTCGACATCTGCATTCTGTTCACCATGGATGCGTTGTCGGCGACTTCCTGGCAGTCGTGCGCGGTCTCCGTCGTCGACAGATTCTGCGGATATTGCGGATTGAAGTAGGTGTTCTGCGTAGACGGCATCATGCTCGGATTGACGTTCGTGGACGGCATGCTGCTGGACATCATAGCGTTGTTCTGATACGGCACCTGCTGCTGCTGCTGCTGCTGCTGCTGCTTGTTGTACTTCTGTTGCGCCATGAAACTCTGCTCCTGGTGCTTCACCATTCCCTGACTTGGTATGCTCATATTGTTTACCTTGGAATATTCCTTCGCGTTGTAAGGATACTTCTGGTACTCTCCCGTATAGTTGTAGTTCTGCATGGGATAGTTTTGCAGCATACCCGAACTGGGCGGGTAGCTCCGCGGGAACAGACGGTCCTTGCGATACTTGTAGTCGGGGTAGTTCCTTCGGTGATCCGCATTAGGCGCGCTAGGCACGATATTGGGCGGCAAGACTTCCTTACCATCGAAATTGTCCTTCCTGAAGTTGAAATCGTTGCCGAATCGTCGCGTGTCCGTCTGGTATCCGGACGCGCGAATGTTGTCGCGATAAGTCGTATTACTCTGGTAAGAGCAGTACTTCTCCCACTGCTGGTAGCTTATGTTGGGATCCGGGTTGCAGCACAGTCCCTTGCACGAAACAAAAGACGGACCTGCCCTGCTGCTGGCGTGCGAATTTACGTTGGCATTACGTGGTCCTATAGATCCATGAGGAGTGTTCATGCTCATCACATTTGGTCCGTTCAGGTGGGAGATAGGCCCGTTCAAAGGCACCTGGTTATTCCTGTAGCCTAGCTCATCGTTCAGCCCGCCTATCGCGGTGTTCCTCGGGTCCATCGGCCCGTTCAGATTATCCACTATGGGATTTCGCGTATTCGAAGGCCCATAGTGACCAATGCAGTTCTGCATCTGCACCATCGATGCAATGGGGTTGCTGTCGGCGGCATTATGGCCGTGTGAGATGTTGCTCGACAGATGCGGCTGGAAATGCCTGGCATTAAATGTGGAGTCGTTCTGGTGCTTCTCATGTCCCTCTGTATTGAGGTTCAAGCCATGATTCAGCTGCGTCGGCGGGTTGATGCTGGAGATAAACGGCAGATGTCCCGAATTGACATTTTGAGCAGTGGTGGTCACGTCGTTTATTCCTGATTGCGGTGGATTATACTGATGCCAATCTGGCATATTTCCACTGTAGTTCATTGTACATTGTTTTGTTAGGATTTTTTATTGTAATTACATTATTCTCCTTATACATAGAGATCGCCCAGTAAGCAAGTCAAGAGCAGGAGAACCTGAGAGGGAAGAGAGGAAATAGTATTATGCTTCACGCAATGTTATTGTGAAAAATGTAAATGTAAAATTAAAGAAATCAAGATCATACATTTAACAATCTCACTGATAACGTTAAGCAAGTTCTATACAATCAATTTATTTCTTGTATTGTCCCAAATCAAAATTTTAGTCCTATATTCAGCTCAAACTTTCTAATATTTATATATTCTGGGATGGTGCGTGCCTAATGCATATTGAAACTTAAGTACTATTTGGCACCTTTAAATGCCAAAAAATGCACAAAATACTATTTGTAGTAAAGAGGACTTGTTGATAAAGCTAATAGGTTGAATAGGATCAAAAGAGATTAATATAGGCTTTAAAGTAGGTGTAATGTATATGTAATGTAATGTATATGTAATGTATATGTAATGTATATGTAATATATATGTAATGTAATGTATATGTTAAAAGTAGGTGTTAAATAGAATATTAAAGTTGAAAGAATAGGATGAAAATTTTGACTCTGCATAATTTTGAAATATCAGTGCTTCCCTCTGGCATATCTCTACAACACCTAACAACATTATACATTGGTTGATCTGGCGACGACAAAATCGCGATAAATTCGAAATTTTTTGCACGAATATCAGAATGACCTAGATATTCTGTTGACACCTTTGACACAAAGTCGTTATTTATGCGATGCAATCGTATGTCGTTATTGTATGCAAACGATTTCACAACATTCTATACGTAAACCCGTCTTGCACGTCGCAACGTTAAACAACACGCGCCAATGTTGACGAGATCGCTGTCAACAACGCGATACACTGGGCCTGAGACTGACAGATGACACCATATTTATCGGAGCTGTAGCCATTGTTACGGTTAGCCTACGTCAACGCGCCGTGTCGTGTTTACCTTTGCTCTGTCGCGTCGTACGGCCAACGACGATCGCTGTCATCACTCACCCGATGGCCGTATAACGTGCACGATAATGCTGTAATTTATACGCGCCTTCGTCGCACCACACACGGTGGAAACGCACCTTACTACGTATGTACCACGGACCTTGAAAGTTTTACTCGGCTGACACGGATGTACCAAGCGCGAGCGAGCACTCGCCGCGACGTTGACGCGCTCAGATCGCAAAGTCGTGCACGTTCACGACCGAGACGACTTCGTCGGACGACGCTCGGCCTCATCGCTGAGACCGTTCGTCGCCGAATACGCGAGACTCACGCCTTTCCTCTTACCTGCACTTTAACACTGCTCACACGCATACGCCATATTGGACACGACTGTTCGCTTGAAAAATAATATCGTGCGCCCTCTGCTGTGGAGGAAGTACTTCGCCGCGCCGTTTAAAGGCTTATCCAGACGTATCTGCATAATTATGCAATCGGTCAACGCAACGGTAACATGTTTCTTGCCTTGGCCACGTGATTGGTCGACTTCTCCAAGATATTATGCGTTTACGTCAAACCATCTGAAGAGGCCTTAATGATCACATATAAATAAACATATATGCTCGCGTATGTGACCCCATATATACTGCGTGTACGGTTAGCACTTGGTTGCGCATATCCAAGTAAAACAACGTTATCTTAAAGTATTCCATTTTACTATATAAAATTAAGTCAGGATAACTTTATTTTCGGTAAAAAAGTTAAGTTTCTGTTTGAAAAAATTATCTAATGTCCGCCCGAAAGATAACTTTTAATATCCAAAAAGATATCATTTAGATATAAAAGTATCAAGTTGGTACATGGATACAAATTAAATATATACTAAATGATAACTATAAGATGCGTAAATGAACTAGCTATTAACCAACTGTAAACTATTATTTAATCGGTCATATTAATGGAGACGAATTATTTTGACATTGACTTGTTATCTTATAGATACGTTCCAAAGTTAACTTCAAGAATGTTAACCAATAGGCAACCTGTTCTACTTGGGTATGTGATATGTATATGCGACTTATAAAAATGCGATACTAATCGCCTTACCTTCCGCTTAATATAGTCTTGTAGTACACCCTACAGAACGGTTGTCGTAAGTTCCGTTACAATGTCACATAAAATAACTCACGTTATAACGTATTGGTATCAAATAAAATTTTTACTGTAATATCTAACAGAGTTTAATTTTAATACGATTTTTTATTTACTGTTTATTGTCAGAGATTATACTATCCAAAGAGAAAAATCCTGATAATCCATATAAATTTTATATTACATTTATTTTAACACATTCTCTTCTCTCTGCAAAATAATAAAATATACAAACATGTGCTAAAATTATTTTGTTTCCATTTTATAAAGAACATTCAGCTTTGCACACCTAAGTTACAATTCATTTATTACAGAGATACACGCCAATTATTATATGTAACATGTGAATATTAAAACTTAATGTACAATACACTCCAATGTATATTATTGCTCATCTCTATGTAAAAGTGGTTATGACAACTTTTTAACACTAAAAATGTGTGAATAAATTCAAATATGTTGTGTGCACATACATATATGTATAATGGCAAAAATAGAAAAATTTATTTTCAAGGTAGGCATATATGCAAGTCTAAGTGTTTAAAACTCTGTCTTATGAACTACATACTTTTTCTCATTAAATTTTATAAGCTTTTGATTCGCTCTAGAAAAATAACTTTTCATAAAAAAAGTCGCTTATATATATTTTGTCAGTTATATAGATAAGGAAATTATAGAAATTATTGATAACAGATAGATATCTATACTACAATATATGTGTACTTAGATGTAAAAATGTGAATTATGCTTAAAAATATGAATTATGCTACAGAAGTATTTTGCCAATTATCATGAATTGTGGTTTTGTTTATAAATGTAATTCATAATACTTAGTATTGTCATTTGTGTCTTTCAGAATCTTTCAAGGGTTTAGATTCAACTTGACAGCCTCTTGTCGTATCACAGAAATGAGTTCCTGATTTATTAAAAATATGAATCTCAATCCTGCAACCTGTGGAAAACAGAATATAAATAAAAATTACGATTAAACAGTTAGATTAGAATCAGTAATTTTAATAAAAAAAAAAAAAAAAAATTCTTATCACAGAGAAAAACTACAAATTATTACTATATTTTTTCAAATTGTGATAATTACTTCGATTACGCTATTGTTATTCAATTTCATTTTATTGCCAGCCAAAATTGGTCTGCTGTCCACAAAAATCGGCCGCTTCCCTTCGGACGACAGAAAGAAGTCCCCATTGTTTCTTAAACGAATAGTGCCTTGTCTACGTGAAACTTTCCAAGCTGGACCTTCTAAAGTAAGATCCACGTCGACAGTATGGTCCTTAGTAGAACGTCCTACACTTATCTAAAGAAAAATAGAAGAATGTGTACATGAAATATTAATCTTTTGAAGTATAAAAAATTACATTGTGTGTACATAAAAATGAATTATAAAAAAATTCTGCTATAACTTTTACCTCTCTAGATCTCATGAGATATCTGACGAGTCTTCCTCTTAGAATGGCCAAAGTTTGGTTATCGAAATCCGGTGGACTATTGCCAGTTACACTATCAACTAGTACCTGCCATCTGCCGAGCTCGTTTTCTAATACTTTAATTTCCCTCTTATTTTTTCTGTCTGCCATTACTAGTTCAGCATCCACCAATTCATCCTTTGGTTCCATTAATTCTGCATCATTGATCATATCTTCAGCATCCGAAAAGTTCAATACATGTTCACCACGTGGTAAGCTTTGTACTGTCTGATCTGGTAACAGATGGTACTGTTTCATTAACTGCCAATGGCTGTGTAATGCTTTTGCAGTCCTAGCTGGATAAAATGTTTGTGCATTTGCTTCGAGCAATTCTTGAAATACTTCCAGTGTTGGTTGAGAAGTCTAATTAAAATATAAAATTTATACAATAAGACAATGTGATATAACAATATGGAAGATTAAATCATTAAATAACAGATTTCTTGGCAAAATTTGTAACACAGTGTAAATAACCCACTAATACTTACTGACTTAATAGTACCCAAGAGATCCTCTTCTGCTTTGCTATACAATGTCCTTGCTTGCACACTGGCAATCAGTTCAGGATGCAAATTGCGCATAGCTTGGACAGCTACACGTGAAATTGCACTGTCATATAATAAAGCATACCATCTTTGTTGTATTTCTTGCAAAGTAAACCGACAGGAAAATTTTGTACCTCGATGAACCTTAAACAAAAATAGCAGGATGTCATAAATAAATTGATATTATGCAATTATAATATTAAGTAATATATTTAATAATCAATTTGTATACTAGTTCTCTGACTGTTGCTGTTTTATACTATTGTATTAAGGATAATATATTATTCATTAATATCACATATTCATGTAATATCATATATCACATATGTATTAACTTTTATATATGTATACATACATGATACATACGTGATATTAATGAATAATATATAGTACAATGGTATAAAACAACAGCCAGAGAACTAGTATGCAAACTAATTAGATAAACACCATTCTCAGATCATTTGTTTGTTGTACACCAGTAATCAATGCTAAGTCATCAGTAGGTTTCCATCGACCAAGATCTTTAGTAGCATTGATAGAATGAGTATGATTTTTGTTTTTCTTGTTCTTACGTCCTGGACCATTTGAACCACCAGGTCTAGTAGGTCTACGATTGCATCTGTCAGACTGTGTTAAGGTGGTTGGTATTGGTATTGGACTAGGTAATGTTTGTGATGGTAAAACATCCATGGAACCAGCAGATACAGATATTGTGCGTGATCTTGATGTTGATTTGGTACTTGTCGCAGGAGGTTGTAAGTTAAATGTTGTCTCCACCAGCTCATCATCAAATTTTCTACGTTTTATTGTGCGTGACGAGCTTTGAATAAAAAGAGATACATTTAGTAAAGCAAAATCATTTGCTTACTATTTGAATATTGCATATGCTTAAAGAAACTTAAATTCTTTTGCAATATTTTTTTTTTAATTGGCAATTAAGTCACCATGTCTTCTTTCAAGATATTTATGGCTATTTGGCACACTGTCCTCTTCTTCCAATATATTTTCTCTTAATCCTTTCAAATCTCTATTCTCAAATATATATATTCTTCGGAAATAATTCCAAGGTATTTTCCAAAAAAATCACTGATCATGTCTGAACACGTCTACACACTGCGGTATCTAAACCGAAAGTCTTTTGCAATATACAAATTATTTGGTATTTACCTTCTTCGCTTCGTCGATAAAACATCTAGAGCTGAAGATTCGATAGGAATGCCTAAGAATCCATCCGTACTGTGAGCGAGTCCACTGTGATTCACTCCGGTTGGAGTCGATATATCCATTGTTACGTAAAACGAAGACCGAGATCGTCAAACCATAATATACGTTGAGTGCTCTTAATAACAATGCATATGCGAACGAGTCGTTATCACTCCAACGTCCTGTGTTGAATTCACGTAATTATTTCTTCGCATCAAAACATCAACACCAAACTACGACAGTTGAGTTCACGCGGACTGCGTCATAGATAATAGATAGATATCAAAGTACAGAGGCCGGTATAATAGCCTTAACAAGTAGCGACTGCCATTTTCAACCGTATGCACACGTGTGCATACGGTCGAAAATCGTAGTAATATGGTTAATAATAATGCAAGCATTAAGGCAGTTGTGTCCATCTTTCTGTTTACACAAATAAATATAGTTCGTATTAATTAAGCAATTGGTATAAGAGTGTATAATGTTGTTTGATCCGATTAATATCGACTTTTATGCAAACTAAGTTAGTAACACTAGTTGTGTTCAATAATCTTTTATTCTTTCTTCTCTATTTTCAAGTGTCGTGTTAGGACAAGGTCCACTTGACACTCCAACGTTCCAAAACGTCAAATTAATCAATATGATTGGTCTATCCGTCACTTTGAAGCACTTGCAGGGCTTAACGGATCTTAACTATAGCTACGTTCCGAAATTCACTACCAGTACTGAAAATCTATAGTCCATGTTACGTATGCTAGGCTGCGTTCAGGGGGTCGATTGTGTATCTCAAATCGGAGTAAAAATGGGTGCGTTCAGAAGACACAACTGTTGCACAACAGTTGAGTAATTACTCAACGTAATTGGTCTAAAGTTAGGGATCTAACAGTAAGGACCAATAATTACTGACCGCTCACTGATCAGCTATTTTTTCTGAACGTAGCCAATGACAAAAGTGAGCAAATTTACTAGCATATTTGTAACTTCATTGGACAATGCCTAGTGAATTTGCTCACTTTTGTAATTTTTACTTTGTTTCGAGATACACAATCAACCTCCAGAAACCCTACTCTGTGAGTAGAGTAATATTTAATTAACCAATAAGAGCAAAAGGAACTAAGATTTCTTTATTATGATTGGTTTATTAAAGTAACTCTACCCATCGAGTAGAATTTCTGAACATAGCCCATAGAATTTCAGCACTGGCGGTGAATTTTGGAATGCAACCATTATCTATATTCAACGATTCGTCCCTCCCTAGATCTAGATCCATATTCTGAACTCTTTTATCGATAAAAGTGCCTTGAATATAGCCAATCAGGTGGCTTTTAAGCCTTTTTTAGAAGCACTTTTATCATATATGTAATACTACTATATTGCTAAATGCTCTATCGAAGAATTCACACCGCGTTCGATGTCCGATGTACGACGTTCGATATCCAATAAGGAAACAGCTTTCCAATGGAGAATTGAATTCTCTATTAGAAAGCTGTTCTCTTATTGGATATCGGACGTCGTGCGTCGGACATCGGACGCGGTGTGAATCCTCCATATGCTGCTTGTAAGAAGAGCTTATCCCAGAATAGAAAGACAGACGATGTTCGAGGAGTGTATTTTGATCGTAGTGTGCAAGTGCGGCGATCAGATGATATTATATATACAGGGTGTCCCGAAGTCCCATGATGACCCTTGGTGAGAACGTAGAACGGATTGAGGTGAGCAAGAAAGTCCTGTGCCGTTTTGCGATATTCGCAATAGTTTTTGAGAAATTAATTATTTTGTCTCAACAAATCAGCGTACAGAAAGCGGCAGCGGAAAGAAAGATGCCTTCGGCCGACGT